CATGTGGGAAGTTCTGTCTCAGTTTCATCAAACACATCAGTAATTGATCAATTCTATTAATTTTTTCAACTTTCCAGTTCATGTAGTAATTGATTTCAATATTTTCTATTAAATGATATAAGGCCATAAATATTGTTGTATTTGGCAGTCCTGTATATAATAATATCAAACTATCGTTACCCTTGATGTGATTAAATGAAAACCGAACTTTAAGATGTTCCAGCTCATGTTCCAAATCTTCGATTTTCTTTTTTAATAAGTAGTTTTCGGCTTCAACTACAACCGATGAGGAGGGATATACAGCTGCACTATCCTTGGAACATGACGGTTGTGGTTCTACTAAGGAGCCTGGTTGGGAAGGTCCTGGAAGATAGCTCGAGACACTGGTTCCGGTACTGCTGCTGGGATCATCCACAGCAATGCTGAAAGAAAATTTGTTATTATATTTGAAAATAAAACACGTTGAAATGTTAATAAAAGGGGCGATCAAAAACTCGATTTAATTACAGTCACACACAAACTTGATGAACCAAGTTTATTCACTTTGACAAATTTGTATAACGTTTGACATAAATATCACTCACATTTCCATTTCGGATGGTGCAGATGTCATATCTGGTTGAAAAAGACCTTCAAGTCGACGTTTTGCTGGTAGACCTTCCGGATGTTCCTCAAATACCACTTGGTGCTCTCTTCTTTTTCTCTTTTCAGGACTTGTATAAGTGAATTTCTTTGTCACATTGTGTAAGAAGATTTCAGGCCCATTTTCTCTCTTAGCGTCACGGAAATGACAACTGCATAAGAATGCACCAGGTCCAGGTTCCTCATTACGCCTATCATATTATACAATAGATTTGTATAGAAAATTTAAACAGTTATTCAAAATTAAAAGGTAGGTATATTTCATACCTACCTCACAAGTTTTTTCCATCGGTTTCGTTCCTTAGGGTCCTTTGGAAATTGAAAAAACTTTCAAGTTACTCGTTCATTGTAGTGCTTGCAATCCGGAGCCCAGCACATAACCATGATGAATGCAGGATTAGTACTATTAACATCATTAAATAAAATTACTTTTATAATGAACTATATAAAGTGAGGTTATGTTAAATTTAGATAATATTAATATTTCAGTTATTACTACCAATTTGTCTTGCATTAATGCATTTATAGACTAAATTAACTACACTCTTACCGTTTTCGATGTTTTTATCCCTTAAAATCTTCAAATAAGGTCAAAACAACACCTTTCTGTAAATTTGCCGTGTTAATCGCGCTTTGTTTGGAACGAACCGCGACCTACCACAACAAAATGGCTGGCGCTACGTCACACTAATGCAGCGTAAAAATCAAGTAAACATATCCATTTTTTTTTTTTTGAAAATATAAGTATTCAATATTAACCTCCATCAAGCGCATCGCTGCAAAAAATGTTAATTGCGTCTTCAAATTTTTTTTTAAATAAAAAAAATTATCTCGGCTCCCAGAAGGTCGTAGAAAAACATTTTTTTTTAAATTCGTGAAAAAATGTCAGCAGTTTATTTCTTTAAAAGTCATTTTCATAAAATAAAAATTGAAATAGTTATTTGAAAAAAACATACCCAAAAAAAGTGCAACACTTTCAGTCATTTTTTGATCCTTAAAATTAATAAAATCGTCAACATTTTTTAACAGCATGATAATATAACTCTTTACGAAGAAAATAAACCAAAAGTCGTCACTGTAGGGCTATTCGCTGAGAATATCTAGCCAATTTTCGAGAGCGCCTTTTTTTTTAAAAAATCAATGTGTTGTGGTTCTATAAAAAATGCATTGTTGAGGTATCTAAGTAACAGTACAGTGTTTTTATAAATAAGGAAGATAGCTCTGAATTGAATTTAGGAAAAAGAAAAGAGATGTACTTGACAACATAAATTAAAAGATTGATCCTTCACATTGAGCATAGTTTCCCCTATATTATAATAAAAAACAGAAGATACAGTCCATTTCACTTCTCTTATGGTGAACAGTTAAGCTGCATCATAAGATTTGGTCCTTCGAGCCGGAATTAAAGAAAAAATCAGCCCGAAGTCCCCATGCATTTTACAAAAGGTAAAGAAGATTAATTTTTTATTTCAAGTTATAGTAGTCCCCCCAAAGTAGAAATTAATAGCAAAATCACAGTCCCGCTTCGAAGTTGCAGTTCCCTATCGCAGTTGAAGTTACAGTTCCCCATCGCAGTTAAAGTTGCAGTTCCCCATCGCAGTCAAAGTTGCAGTCCCAGTCGTAGTCAAAGTTGCAGTCCCAGACGTAGCCGAAGTTGTAAGTCCCAGTCGCAGTCAAGTACATTCTCAGGAAGCTAAGAGTTTCTTCGTCAGAAGTGTGAAATCTGAACCCAGTCAGCACACTGTCGTCTGTTTGACGTCATTTATATGTCCCAATTTACGTCATAAGGCCCAATAAAGTGACGTCAAATATCTGTTAAAATGACGGTCTAATGTCACATCCTACAGACGTCATATGTAAACGTAATGGTGACGTGAAATATGACTAATATTGGACCAATGTAGACCCAAATAAAAACCTTATGGTACGTTATTTTGACGTACAAATAGATCCTTTTTTTGTCCCACATGCGTCATAATAATTTCAAATATGAGTTTAATTTGACCAATGTAGGCCCAAATAAAAACCTTATGGTACGTCATTTTGACGTACGAATACGTTCTTTTTTTGTCCCACATACGTCATAATAATTCCAGATATGACTTTAATTGGACAAAAAATAGACTGCAATAAGAATTTTGTTAATTAATGAAATTAGCAGTTTTTATCTACGCAAATAATTATTTCGATGTAAAAATTATTATTAATAAATATTAATCTAAGGATATCAGATGCTGACTGGTTAAAAATTGTTGATATGTTCAAACATCATTTTATATGATTTACACATAAAATACTCACCACTAGTATACCCACTTACTTATACATATAATAAATTAAATTTGGTAATGTAAACACTAGCCTTTATAAATAAATAAATAAATAAAGATATTCACGTAATAGAAATACTCTGTTAACTCCCAAACATAAAACGCCCACCTTTACTCGTAGTTTTTCATATTTATCCCCAAAACTGTATAATCAGTTACCAAATGCGATTAAAAATATTGTTTTAATTTCAAAAAAGAGTAAAATCACTTGTTGGAAACTAACATCTTTAATTACACTCTAATTAGATTTAACATACATATTTAATTTTGTATTTTATCACTGAAATGGACATCAATGATTTATTTGGCTAATTTGAGATGAGCAAAGATATAATTTGTTTTAGAATTTAGAAAAACAATTAAATTAATACTTACCTTAAAAATATGTACCTATTGCCAAGTGTCTTTAATGTATTGAAAAAATCGCTAATATAATTTCTAAAAATTATTACTACAGAAAGAATTGAAAAATATATTGAAAATTATATACCATCAAGTAATCAAAATAAATAATTCATTTTTGTAGCTTTTACATATCTTTATCTAGATTACCTTTTGGCCATGCCACCAAATATCCTGTGGTATGAGAAACTAGCAAATATTTTAATTTTGTTTCTTATGTAATAATCAAGGCAGGCTTATGTTTAGTAAGTTTTAATTTCATTTATTGTCTATCATTATGTGAATATACATAATATTTTGATACTTGGTTTAACCCACATAGAAGTGTGGTTTAACCAATATAATTTTTACAATTTTTTTTTAAAGTAGGTACTTAAGTCGCAGAGATAAAATATGTTAACATAGGCAACAAAAAAACTCACTTCTTGAAAAAAAACTTTAATTTTTTTTTAAAGCTAACATTCTAACTGACAGGGTCTCCACTTTTAATCGGGAAAATTTAATAGATGATGCAAAAATAGAATAGAAAAATAGGAGAACATATATTTTTTAAAACTTTATTTTGGAGATACAGGTTGTTATAGTTAATAAAAAATAATATTTCTTTCAAATATGTCAAAAACTACTTGGCCGATTATCTTGATAAAACTTGGGCACGTGTTAATAGTAATAGGGACTTAATTTGATGTACTAAGATTTAATTTAATTATTCTAGGGGCGGCGCTGGGGCATCTTAACTATTATATTACAATTAATAAAAATTTGAGCACTCCACTATTTTATTATAAGTTTGGTATTATTTCTAGGATCGAATAATTAAATATACAATTCATTCGTCTATTTTACTTATTTTTTTTTTTTAAGTAAGATTCGTTTATCCGTCAGCTCCTAGAAAAATGAATATAATAAACACATTTATTTATTTTTCTCGAAATGTAAGCAAGATAAACAAAACATGCAAGACAAAAAAATATTTTTAATTACTCCATCTAAATATAATTTAATCATACACAAAAAGCACTGGCGTGCCCAAATTTGTCTTTAAAATATCTAGTTAGAATGCTCTAACACTGCCCCTGGAAAAATTAAATTAAATCTAATTGCAGCGAATTACTTACTTATTACTAAAAAGGTGCAAAATTTTATCAGTCAAGTAGTTTTTCAGATATTTGAATATAAGTTTTTTGTAACTGTAACACCCTATACCTCAAAAACATAGCTTTAAAAACAAATAATTTATATGAATTTTATGAGTTTTATCGCCTATTAAATCCCCAGTAAAACCTGGACACCCTATACATATACAACGTAACTTTTAATTTCAACTTAACATTAATGTTAACCGTGAATATAGCAAATAAATATTATCAATAATATTGGTGAATGTAAATTTTAAGAAAATATTGACAATAATGCTGAATTTAAAACTAAACTACATTAAAACAAAGTATATGTACTATAGAAATAAATCTCTACATATAAATATGTACTAATTAAACCTTTTCAGGTTACTTACATATTTTCTGTAAAGTATGAATTATTGGAAAACATATGAGATTATCATTAAGAGGAAGTATTAAGCACTTACAAACTACATCTTTAATTGAGCATGAAAAATATTGTTCTGACAAATTATTTACAATAAAAATGCCTAATTCAGTTGAACTAAGTGGATAGTTATAGAAGGGAAGTTTTTCTACAAACTGTTTGCCTATCAAAAATGTATTTTCTTCATATAAAATAATATTATGGATCTCAAAAATAATGCCACCTTTTATCAAACAATAAGAATCAGCATTAGACTGAAATTTGGTACACATGCTGAAGTCTATACATTTCACTTTTTTGAATTGTTTGCTAGAAGTATAAATTAGAGTTGGACCAGAATTATGTTGTAAGAGATGCGTCAACTGTGGCTCTTCAAAATTCTTTTTAATAAAATTATCTCCTTCCTCTAGTCTACGATGAATTTGTTGTAAAGGTTGCGTCGGTGATTTTATTAGTTTTTTTAAAAATCCTAGGAAATTTTCAAAAGGAAAAGCAGAAAATGTATCTAATGGCCCATATTTTTTAACGTCTTCAGCTAGGTGACACAATATATGAACATTATATATTAGAAACTGCTTTCCATACAATTTTTCAGAATGAACTATAAAAATACGTAACAGTTCATTGGGGTACTCACAACCAAATTTTGAAATATGTTTATCAGAGATCAGAATTGTTATTGCAGAATGGAACAGGAGGAAATGTTCATATACAGCTAGATCGACCAAACCTTTCAATACAATTGGTCCAAAATACAATAAAAAATTTCTAAGCTCAGTTGCTTTCCATCTTGGCAATTCATCCAATGATCGTGGCTTTCTGTTGAATTCAGATGGAATGCGAGATTTTAATGATATTAAACGTTCAGATATTATTTTTACTATACGATTTGGTAAACGTGTTTTTAAATTTCCTCCTATCCAGAAGTTTAATAATTTTCGGCACACTCCCAAACAACACGCATGCATATAATCAATAGGGACAGTAGTTACTAATCCCACATTTAATTTAGTTAATGGTGAAACACCAAGATGATGCTCTTCATCTAACTGAAGTATAAATGATTTATCTGTTCGTTTAGGGGCTGTTGTGTTTTTTAATATAACTCTACCATTATAATATTCTCCCGGTTCAGTACATTTGTCACAACTAGAATAACCACCATGTGATTTAATACATTTAATGAAAGCCTTTGCAGGGGCATCACAAACAATACTGTGAATATCTATATGGTAAATTCTATTAGCGAATTTTAAACCTTCTTTCATTAAAAGGTTTAATTCAGATACAAAATCTCCCAAAAAATTATCAAGTGGATGCGGTTTAGATTTACCACAAAACAATGAAATTACAAAAGGAGTATTTTTGAAATTTTTTACTAAACCTAAAATGGGCCAGAACTGAATATTAGAGCTATGGAATAGGGGAAGTCCATCTATATTAAAACTAAGACTAATTTTAACATTTTCTAAAAACACATTTTTTGATGGCATTACTTTTAAGATTTTATTTAAACCATTTGCTATACCGAAATAGCAATATTGTCCTGTATTAATTTGATTTACAATTGTTTTTCGTGGAGTATTCATTAATGTTCTGGAATCCAAAGGCAACTCTGGATGTATTACAGAAAGTCTATATAAAAGATCGGTCAATGCTGTATGACTTATTTTGTACTTAATAGTCCAAGATCTGAGCTCTTCATTTATATTTACAAAATTACTTTTCAGTAGATTTTCAGTTGTGTTAAAATTTTGTACAGTTCTAATTGATTCCATTACTGGATTATCAGTATTTCTGAATACGTTATTGTGCATTATTTTATAATTATGGTCATTGACATCCAAATCATAATTAATTTCATTTAAATTGAAGATTGCATTTTCAACAGATGGGTTAACACAACTGGAACCATTACTTTCACATGAAGTGTTATTAAAAATAATTGTAGAGGACCTATCAAGAACATTGTTATTAAATCCGAGGAAATTATTTTTTTTTTGAGTAGTATTCTGTAATGCATTATGAACACTAGCAGAAACTCTTCTATAAAACTGTCGTTTTCCAACAATTTCTTTAGGTTTGCGATGCATGTTTATTTAGCCGCCTTTCACAATTTCTGATTCGTTCTGGAGCATGTTTCAACCAAACTTTTATTATGTCTTCGACATCTTTATCCGAGGTCCCTGAATGTGATATTTTAACAGATTCTAAAAATTCAAATAATATTTATCACACATTTCTTTTAATTATATATTTTTTTGATATTAGCTTTCGTGTTTTTTACTTTAGTTTAAAATTTATTAAGCCAATTCAAATTAAGTCTAAAAATGTTTCCTAATACATTTTCATCAAATGAAGTCAAACGTCTTTGACACCTATATCTAGGTACGTTAAAAAGCAACTTCAAAGACAACTTTAATGGTTGCAGTAATTAATACCAGAGAATTAAAACATATTCACCAGTATAAATTTGAATTAGCTTTAGAAAAAAGTAAAAAAAAATATGACACTATATAAAATTTACATAGTTTAACATCTATTATTAAGTATGTACTTACGAACAATAATGCTGCATAAAGTTAAGTGACAAAAAGCTTCCTTCTCTGTCCTTTTCCCATAAAAATTGTAATTTTTTGCAACTTCGTCACTTAAAATGTACTTGAGGATTCTGTTTGTTCTATTAGTAGCATCTTTTCCTCCAAGACTTGATAAATAGGAACACTTAAAAAATAATAATTTGAATTTTACATTAATAAATAAAAGTGTATAAGCAGTTCGTACAATTGAATAATGTACACTTTCCGGGCTGTTTTGGTTGACATTTTGCTATACTTAACAGATGGTATTTTTAGTGCTTCTCGTATCTTGAGCCGCCACTCGAGATACGAGAAGCACTGAAGATGCCATCTGTTAAGTATGGAGAAACATTTGCAGTTAAGCATCGATCCAGCAAAACAGTTTAGAAAGTGTACATCATGCAAAAATGTATCAGTTATTACCAAGCAATCAGCAATTTCAGTATTTTCTCTAAGTATCTCATCCAAAATTTTCAAATTATTATTTGTATCTACAGGAAATTTAACTGGTAGATCCGGTAAACTTGACTTTTCCCTTGTCTTTTCCTGCTTTGAAATTGTTGCTAATATCTGTTTATTTTGTTCTTTAATATGCATCAACAACTCAATATTTCTTTCTTGCAACTGAACTGAAAATAGTTTTTTTATTAACACTGACAATAAATAAATTTATTAGGTGAAAAAAAAAAACGACCTAAGAAATTACTTACTCAATTTTTCTATATTTTCCTTATCGGTTGATAAAGTAGTATCTCCTGTTCTATGAAATAATATATTTTTGTTACCCGGACATAAATTTTCCTTAATTGTTTGGGACGTCAAAATAGAAGATGAAGACCTAGATGTGCCTGATAAAATATATTTCCGTTATAATATTTGCAACATTAAAAATAGGCACTACAGTACACAAATATATAAAATATTTTTTTAGCAATAAATACACACAAGATTAAGAAATACATACACGGACTGGGGTTATCTAGCTTTCTTGCAATTCTTGGAGGACGTATGAGTTGACTTTCACTAATATTATCGTCTTCGTCAGAAGCAACTTCAATGTATTTTCTATTGGGAATACGGTTTCTAACTCGTACTGAGGTTGCGTTATCATCTACATCACTCTGAATATCTGAGGTGATTTCACACTCCTTTAATTTGCCACAAATTTTTTCAAAATCATCTAAAACATTTTATATTTGATACCAAAAAGTCAAATATACTAGAAAAAATTATGGTAATTATTTACTATAGCATCACACTCTCAAATCTTCACAAAATTTTGTTATTCCCCTATATTCGAGGTTGCTGAACACGAATCGGAAATTATTTTTGTGCGGATTTTTTAATTCTAAGCGGGACATTTCACACAGCACTGTATACATTATGTAACTCAGAACATCTGTTATGAACAATTAAGATTGTTTATGAAACACATTTTCGCAAATTTTAAGTAAAAAAAATATATAATTAATAAATAAAAATTTTGTTGCTTGAATCTGCCACTTGTAACTCGTGATTGATGACATTTAAGTTCCCCTCATTCTCATTCATCTCTGTTCATCCCACATAAACTTACTATAATTTTGTTTACTAATTTTCCAGAAAAAAAATCCAAATTATAACCTATACGTTTAACAACACTAGAAATTATTGAATTAAATTTATCCTGTCTGAACCCAACTGAACACAACGTAATCTAGTCTAATGAGGTAAAGTTGGGTTAAGATAGGAAATTTAAACATATATTTTTGTCATAGATATAATTTTTAATAATATGCTACCCTTACCCAGAATTAAAAATTGTATGTTAACAGCGAAAAACTACTTTACAAGTATGTACCTATGTAACAACTTTCAACAAAATCTTTGAATGTCGACAGTATTGATAGATTTTATAATATAATAGTTTTAAAACTTTAGATATGTAATCTTGAAAGCAATTGCAAATACTTAGGTAGATTTATGGTAAACCATTAGTTATTTTTATTATTTACTTTCCTAGATTATTAATGCATGTTTTCTATTTTTAATAGTACTAATAATAATAATCTTCATACTTACCGCTGGAATAAAAACACCGTGCCACATTATACAATTTCCACGTTTCAGGATCAACTTTTTCCCCCTTTTTAATGGCTTTGTTAAATTGGCTTTGCTGCTTATAGGTGGCCAATATACCTCCGTTTTTCTTGGAGTGATCCAGTCTTTGTGGACGATAGATACCTCACCACCATCACAGTCCGAAAATTCTATAAGCACAAACGTCATAAATCACGAACAAGTTGCAAATATAGGCATCAACCATCAACAAAATGTCTATAATCTGTGCAACAAACAACAATGCAACAAATCAGCATGGCCATGTACGTACGTAGTGCGACTGCGTAGTAAATAACGAAAACGGGAATGATGTGATGACGACGTCACCGTCTCGAGACGGCATTGGATGATGTATACAGCAGACATAACGATTCGCTGAATCTAGTGGCATGATCGTAAAACAACCAATAAGATTTTATTTCTGCTGACTGGGAAAGGAGGGAATTACAAATTAAATGGTATTGATATTGTTTCGCAATAAACGCAAATATAATCTGAGATTTTTAGAATTTTATCACGATTAAACAAAATAAACACCTATATACAAAATACTTAAAATAGTGGATAGGTATTAGGTGAAATTGTTGTATATTTAGTAAAGCCATATAATCAATTATAAAAATTGTATCATCTTATCGATGTAATCAAAGAATTATGACCTTTAGGAGACTATACATTGACATCTACCATCTACCGAATTATAGAAGAAATAAATCATTTGTAATGTAATATATAACTTAAAAATGACGTCTAAGTAACACCTTTATAAATTACTTTCTATGAAATAAAAATTCTCCCTTTTCTAGATTTTATTTAAGTACGTCATTGACATAAAAATGGACGTCATAATAACGTACAATTTAAGAGTTTATTATTATTTATTTTCATTTATGCATTTAATATGTTTAGAGGAGGTAAATATTACAGTACCGCTGGTTGTCTAAAAATTATTTTGCCGTATTTTCATGTCAATGCGGGTTGCGGATCCTTTCCAATTTCATTATTTGCATGGGACCTAATATACAATTTTAACATCCATTAATATATACCTATAGAAATTTATAACTTAAAGCTGACGTCTAAACAACGTCATCATAAATGTCGGATTTCCATATGTCATAAAATAACGTTTTATTTTTATGTCTAGATTTAATTAATATATGACATAAAAATGATGTCATAATAACGAACAATATATGACGTACTTTCTACGTCATAAAATAAGACGTTTTATTTGACTTTGTCTTTAGGCCTCATTGATATATGACTTAAAAATGATGTCATAATAACGAACAATATATGACGTACTTTCTACGTCATAAAATAAGACGTTTTTTGACTTTGACTTTAGACCTCATTGATATATGACTTAAAAATGATGTCATAATAACGAACAATATATGACGTACTTTCTACGTCATAAAATAAGACGTTTTTTTGACTTTGTCTTTAGATTTGATTGATATATGACTTAAAAATTATGTCATAATAACGTACAATCTAAGACGTCTCTATGGCGTCACAAATATGACGTAATTTTGACGTCCTTTATTCGACTACTGACGTCGTAGACCAATAATGACGCTAAACTGTCGTCTGGTGACGTCAAATTAACGGCAGTGTGCTGGCTGGGAAGTGGAGGTGCTCTCATAGGTTTATTTAAAGTTTATTATAATTGTTTCCATTTTCATACCGGAAAGTTGTAAATTTAAAACCAATTTATCTATATAATAATAATCAAGTAAGAATGGAATCTTTACGAAAGGAAAGAGCTATTGCTAAATCATCTATAACGCGCATTGAGAAATTTGTAAATAAATCCGTTAATGATTTACAAGTCAAAATTTTATATTTTAAAGAACGAGAACAGAACCTACGTGAAGCTTTCATAAAATATAGTGATTCTCAAGATGAAATTGAATACTTGGATGATTCAGATGAACAATTAAAAGATAGAGAAATTGTTGAAAGTAAATTCTATAGCACATTAGAAAAGATACAAGAAGCAATTGAGTCAAGAGAATCAGAGAA